TCTGAAAGCATTTAAGTGTTTCCTTGGCTGTGTTTTGGATTATTTTCTTGGTGAAACAATTTCTGATTTCAACTTCATCATTCTGATAATGTAGATGTTGGACTTAAGCAACTAAATTTTATTTACAATGACGAAGGACAGATGGTTGATGAAGAATACAGAGATTTCAGCAGCTGTCTGGGCTTTCACTGCCTTTCTACACCTCCATTTCTTCATGTGTTCAATATTTCTTCCCTGCATCATTTCATTGTATTATGCATAACCTAATTTGTAAACTAATTTATATTGTTTTCTTTGCATATATGGATTTATTGGGTTGTTACCAACATCCATTTCAAGTCAGCAGCACCTTTAGAAACATGTTTTCTGAGAAAAATGGTGTTGTGTTCAATACTTATTTTCATTCATTCATTTTCTTGTCGGCTTAGTCCCTTTATTAATCTGGGGTCGCCACAGCGGAATGAACCACCAACTTATCCAGCAAGTTTTTACGCAGCAGATACCTTTCCAGCAGCAAACCATCTCAGGGAAACATCCACACATATCTGTATTCATCTGTACCATCTGTACCACATGTCTTTGGACTGTGGGGGAAACCGGAGTACCCAGAGGAAACCCACGCGAACGCAGGGAGAACATGCAAATTCCACACAGAAACACCAACTGAGCCGAGGATCGAACCAGCGACCCAGCGACCTTCTTGCTGTGAGGCGAATGTGCTACCCACTGCGCCACTGCGTCGCCCAATACTTATTTTCCCCACTGTTTTACATATACACAGTATATGCACTTTCATTATCATTAGAGAAAGCAAGATTGATTGATTATTTGATTATGACAATATATAATGGCAACTTGTTTTACAATTTTACATGTAAAGACTTGTGCTATGAAATCAAACTTAAATGTTAGGGGGTGAGACTATTCAGACAGACCTCTATAATACAGTTTGTTCAACATGGCATAAGTAATTGATAAACAGGAAACATGAGAGAATCATCACAATCATTTGCATGGATGTACCAAAACATTTGCAACTTTTTCAAAGAAATTAGAGTTTTTGATGTGCACAGGTAACACAATTTTGTGAAGATTGAACAGGCAGTTTTGAGAATTTCAATGAAGACCTGAGAAATAACCAATATATTATTAATATTTAACAATAATATAAGCTAATCTGAAAAGTTTAGTCATCTGTGAATTGAGTGTCTTCTTATTACTATAAACACTGACAATGTGGCAGTGTGTCATTTACTTCATTAGCTGAAAGGATCAACTTGATGAAGAGACAGACAGACAGATGCAGACAGGCAAACACAAACAGACAGCCAGATAAGCAGACAGAAAAACAGACACAGATAGAACAGATAGGTAGACCAACAAAATCTCACGGCAATTCGTAACTTTTTGATTTAGTGGCTAATTCATATGAATTCGTACAATCTAATTCATACTATTTAGTACAATTTGCTCATCCCACAATGATGGTTGGGTTTAGGGGTGGGGTTGGGTTGGGTGCCACGCCCACTTTTCAAATCATACAATTTCATATGACTGAACTTGTACGAATCAATGAATTAGCCACTAAACTGACAAAATGTAAAATACTTTTGTGTTTTCTCGTGAGATCAGGCTGGACAGAAAGACAACCAGAGGAAAACAGACAGATAAATGGAGGCAGATACAAACAGATAAACAGAGAGACAGCTATAGAGGCAGAAAAGGCATGCAGACAGATAGACAGACAGATACAGGGCAGATAGATAAACATCAAGCCAGACACAGACCAACAGGTAGATAAACAGACAGCCAGACAGGTAGACCGACACAGACAAACAGATAAAGAGGCAGACAGACACCTAAAGAGACAGGCAGACAGTTAAACAGAAAGACAGACTGGCAGACAGACAGATAGATAAACAGACAGATAGGCAGACACAGAGAAACAGACAGACAGATACAGACATAGGAAGATAAACAGACAGACAGAGAGATAGGCAGATGCAGAGACAGATAAACAGACAGACAGTCATGGACGGGCAGGCAGATAGAGAATCATACAGAAACAGAGGTAGACAGACAGACAGAAGTAGACAGACAGAGGTAGACGGACGGACGGACGGACAGACAGAGACAAACAGATAGATAGATAGATAGATAGATAGATAGACAGACAGACAGACAGACAGACAGACAGACAGACAGACAGACAGACAGACAGACAGACAGACAGACAGACAGATAGATAGATAGATAGATAGATAGCAGGGTAATAATTCTTCTCATATTGACACACAATAGAATCAGTTCTTCAGATAAACTGGCTATAAAAGAATAAGCAGACTAATATGGCAACATGATGCTGATAGAGAAGGGCTTTGTAGAGTGTTTAAAATCAATTTTTGTTGTATAGCACTGGCCTTTCGCTCATAACGTCTGTCCCCGAGAGTCTCTATGACAACCATACTGTCACAGCCAGTGTTATTACACAGACAGACACAACGAGAGCCTGTAATGAAGTGTGCTTCACTTCAGCCATCTTTAATACTCACTCACACACTGCTAACCTCATCTTGTGTGTGTTTAGATTAGAGATGCACCAATGAGTCAATTTGCATATACTGACACGGACACATACCAATAGTGCTTCTGCCTTTTGTAAAAAAAATTTAAGTGAATAATATTTCATTAAAACATTTTCATTGAACAATTTAACAAAAGAAAATTACTCTTATATTAATAGTCTTAACTTGTTAACTGTAACACACACAATTGCTTCATGCTGTCTCATCACAAATCGATTAAGTGAACTTAATTGTTACAAATTTAAGTGGATTAAACATAAAACACTTAAGTTGTCCCAAAATAAACTCAAGAATTGTGTTGATTCAGCTTATTTAATACATAGTTTGAACTCAGCAAACATAATTTTTTAAGAATTACATAATTCTTCTGAAGATTAAGATGTTTTTTTTTTTTGTTGTTGAAATTTTGAAAACCTTGAAAACCTTTGAAAACTCCATTCCCTCACCACAAACAAAAGCATCTCTGTGCAAACTGATTGAAAGTAAATAAGCGAGTATTTATTAATGAAGTGTTATCCACTCCTCATAATGTGAGATGATATTTACATCTAAAAATAATGGCTTAATTTGTGATTACTCCAAAAATATCACTTATTATTTATTATAATATATGAATTCCTACTTTAAAATGATCTGCACCTTTACCCCAGTCTTTAGTGTCATAGGATCCTTCAGAAATAATTTATTATCTGAAAGAAAATCTTTTTGTAATACTACAAATTCCTTTAATGTCACAATTGATTAATTTATAATAAATGTGAATAATTTTATTTTGCAAAAGTGAAAAAAACATCAATTGTAATTAATCACATCAAAAATTAATGTTTGTTTTGACATAATTTAAGTTTATGTACTGTTTATACTAAATTTTTACAACAGTTTTGTCTGATTCTCCAACCTGGGGTGCGTTTCCCAAACAATGATTTAACTCACAGCTGAACCATTATGGTATGATGCATTGTTCGGGAAAAGAACAATGTAGTGACGATTGTTTCCTAAAACGCATAGTTTCTGTCGCGGATCCATCGCTTGAACCACATTAGTTATAACGTAAAATGCGTAATGACGCTCTAAACTGGGTGGAGTAACAACTTCTTTAGAGAAGAACCCCATAATTTCTTTGTGCAAATTATCTTGTTTTAAACAAACATACATTTAAAACAAAATCCAATGATAGATTTGGTAAAAACAAGCACTCGTTTTCCATATTAATTGAAATATATGGCACATATAGGGCCTACGTTTGCTTAACAAATATTATTGAAAATCACATGTCATATTCTAAAACATAAAATCACTTACAAAACCTTACATGTACTCTAATATCATATATAAATTATATAAATAAATAAATAATGAGGCGATTTATCAAGAAGTTTAATTCAATAATTATCATGTATTAGAAATTTAAAAATCATACTTTATTAATATAATTAATAATTATGATTATTATTATTATTATTATTGTTAAGTAGGATATTGTTTATTTTTTTTTAAGTCTTCTTTTACAATTTTTGTAAAAATTGTAAAGTACAGCAGAAAGTTCTAACGAGCAGGCCCATGTCATAAACAGTACAGATACTTAATAAATAACCTACTTTAAATGAAAAGAATTAATGTATGCTTTTTGTTTTCACTATCTTTGGAGACGTAACATAAATTCTGCTTTTTAATAATAGGTCACCTATAGCTTTCGCCATGAGGCTGTGTTTAAAATGACATCAATGTTTTTAAAGTGCACTGCGAAGGGAGCACAATTGTAAACATAAAGATCGCTAAAACTGAACTGTAAAAATAGTTTGAAAGCAAATTATACCTAAGAGAGATGACCTTAATTCTTTTTTACCTTTTATAATTCTAACTTTGAATGATTGAGTGTTCTAAATGAATAGGGTATAGGGGGGATAAGTGGGAATAGAACACAGCTAGGAACAATGTTTTGAACTACAGCTCCAAAGGTGTGTATATATATATATATATATATATATATATATATATATATATACACAGTAAATTTTGCTGTGTTGAATAAACTCTTAAAGAGTTAAATGTAACACTGCACGTGAGTGTATTTGGTCCCACTCAAAATTGGTGTTAAATTAACACTTGTCATTGTGTTATATTTTCAGAGTAAAATTAACTCAATTTTGAGTTAAAATTTAACACTGGTCAACACTGAAAATTGTTAAGCTGTTTAACTCAGAACAGAAATTAACTCTGTCTGGTGTTCCTTAATTTAACACCAAACAGAAATCAACTCCGGTCAAATGTTAATACATCACTAATAAAGAGTTGATTTACAACCCATATGGTGTTGCTTTAACAGTCATTATTTCACTCTGGTGCAATTTTTTAATGCTACTGAACATACTAAAAAAACATTTAACAACAAATAAAACAGAAAACAAAACTCAATATCAGTTAAAACTTTTATTAAAACATTCAGGCTTACAAAAATACAGTGCAAAAATTTCAAGTCTGCATAAAATGGCAATATGGTACAATATGAAGTACAGAATCGGTTGTACCATATTTTCTTTGAAGATCAAATGGTTTGAAATAACACAGCTCATTAACATTGACAACTGTTAAAACTTTGTCTGGATGCAGTCTGACTGTAAAAGCATAGTAATGCTCATCAAAACATACAGTTTCCATTAGTGTGCCACATAACAGTACATTTTCATTTTTGACAGCTAGAGTCATGATCTTACAAAACACTGGCATCTCATGTGCTACTTCTGTGCAGATAATAAAGTCAGGACGATACTCTGTGCCATGATGTTTGATCCACTTTACAGCATAGACTATTTCAGATATTACCACACCTAATTTTGAAGCAATCTCTGGGCCACCTCTAATTTCCCTGAGTTCCACCATCTTTCCTGGGCCAAGAGTCAGTCTGTACTGGCTAAAAGACTCCCAATACATTGCCATACAACTCTGGTGCTTTTTGGCTAGTGTTTTGGTGATGTTTTTGAAACTTTTTAATTGTGTTTTAAAGAATTTGTGCTTAGCTTCATAACGCATACACCATGTGTGCAAAATTGGACCAATTTTCCTTATACATTGTGGGTAATGTATCATGATGTGATGTTTTGGCAGAAGATTTTTTTGGGGGAATAACATTTTAAATAGCCGATGATGTTCAATTATCAAATGTTTGAGATAAGTGGTCATGCCATCTGTTAAGACAGGTGAAAAGACAATGTTAACAATCTGCAGAAGTAAAAGCAAAAGATGCCAGTGTTTATCATCCTTATGTATTAAATCTCCAAATATTAAAGGCAAATTGCGCAATAAGCACCAAGATTGAATAGCATTTAAACCTAAATCATTGCTTCCATCAAGCAATTTGACTTTTGGAGGACGGTTTCTCTGCTGATTGTAACCATAGTCAAAAGCATGTACTCTACCATCAAGATCATTGGCACTCAGAAAATTATGCTGAATGTACTGCAGAACAAGTTTTACCTCTAGCTGGGCAACTCCTTCTAGAATGTCGTGCATTATATCAACAGCAAAATTGGTGGCTGTGTTGAAATATTTGAGGGAATTTAATAAGCATGCCCTTTTGACACCATACACGTGAGGTAGTGTAGAATCAGACTGTAAAGTTTCACAATGCAGAGCATGCATCTCAGCAGTTCTTAGTTCAACCTCAGGACTATCTTCAGAGAACACTGACTGAAACTGATGCTTTTCAAGCAGACAAAAACCACAACAATATCGAGCCCCAAATGATTCCAGAAAGCCAAACAAGCTGTGCAGACCTAGGTTATCCCCTGTGACTTGAACGATGGTACCCTTAATGCATCTTCCAGACACTGGATTCTTAACTCCCTCAATTTCAAGCACTTTCAGATCATTGACAAGGGGCTCAATTATGGAGTTAAAACCATAGCGCTTAACATCCTGTGCATGAAAGAGGGCACATAAATGAATATTAACCAGTGAGGAGTTAAAAACTGGTGGGAAATTTCTTAATGAAAAATAGATTGCACCCAATTTATGTATACCTTTTTTTGAGCCCAGTGGATTAGCGGTCTCAAAATCATCATAAAATAACTGAATTTGTAAGGCATCTTTTTCTGTAGAAAATAAAGGACTGCTTTTAAAATGTGCTGCATCACTTAAGTCCACATAAATTCCTTCCTTTGAAATGTGTCTGGGTTTAAACAAATGGGTAAGTTGTGGATTTTTTAAAATTGTCTTTAGTGTTTCTAAAATGGGAATATAAGAAAATTTATCAGTCACAACAACTTGATCAAATGTTCCTGTAATTTTATTTCTTCTGCTGTCAAATCTTGTGCCGAGTACTATTTCACTAGGTTCAACAATTCCCCATTTCGCTGTAAACAGTCGCTGTCGCTTGACTTCTGAATTTAACAAAGTAAATGGATTTTCTAAATTTGTAAAAGATTCCTCTATTTTCCTTTTACTAACAGTGTCCTCAGAAGATATACAGAGCAAAGCTGCATCCTGGGCTTGACTATGAATCTCAAAAACCACTTCTTCCATAGATGAAACAAAACCATTTATTGCAGACTGACTTAAACCAGCAACTTTCAGTTGTGCAACAGCAGACGCACACATATCTAAAGTGTTCTTATTAGACTTTAACATTACAGATGTTGTGGCCACATCTTCAGCACTGTCACTCTGGTGGAACATTGCAGCACTATTTTCTTCCTCTGTCTCACAGATGCCACTAGGGTCACAACTCTGTTCACATTGTTCAGGATGTTTTATATTCAAATGTTTTCTAAAACCTGAGAAGGTACCAAACTCAGAACCGCATCCTGCCTCTACACATTTAAGTCGAAGGCTCTTTCCAGGAACCAAACCATGAACAAATCTGAAGTGCCTAACAAGCATTTTTGAACCATTTAATTCAGTCTCACAAACAAAACACTTCATGAGTGCACTGGAACTTTAGGCACCTAGTTAAGCAGCCTTGCCCTAACCTCAGCAACACGAGGACTTTCTTTCACTTTCCCAACATCTATGTTGTACACAGTGGTTTGAATGAAAGTGTACATGTTGTGCAGCATGGTGTTGTAAGAGGTGCCAAAAACATAATGTGCCTTAAACAGTTCATCAAAGGCACCAAGAGAAGAGGTGGACTTGCATGGAATGGCATGCTGATCAAGGATGATGAAGAACTGGTGAATTGAATCCTTCTGAGGACCTACTGCCAGGAGATAGGGCTGAGCGCTCGCAGAGATGTCTTGCAGATGCTCCTCGATGTTTGTTCCACTCTAAAAAAAAAGCAAGCAAGTAAAAAAAGAAACATCACTAACAAGTTAAATAATAAAAAAACTATGACAGAACAATCATTAAATAAAACCAGCAAACAAACCTTCTTGAAGACAACAAGATGATTTTCTGCTTGAGAAGCAGAAACTTTCCCTGGTCTCTTCCGGCCTTGAGCAGATGGTGGAATCAGATGCAACAGTAGTAGTACTGAAGCAAGGTCGCTGTCCCAAACTGTTTAAACAGGTAACAAACAATTGGTTAATATAATAAATGTTAACTCGCTGCAAAACAATGTTGAAAACTAGAAGTTAACTACATAAAAAAGCCAAAAATATATACAAAGTGACTAAAGCTACATTAATAATCTTAGTTTGAATCCAATTATTTGTAAATCTGATAAAACTTTGATCCAAACTACCAACATATAAAAAAATTTATGAATATGATTTGCAATAACACACACACATATATATGAATGAATTCCAATTGAATATGAACAATTAAAAATTAAACTGACAGTGTGTAACTATGGCTAACTTCATTCATGCTTGGGTTCCTTTAAATATTATAATAACCATGGTATGAAACATTACCTAAACATTAATCAAAATTTTTACCAATATGAACATCTTCTTCAGTGTCATCACGAAGAGATTCTGCTGCTAGCAAAAGTTCCTGTAAATCGCTGGTTGCAGGAAGTCTTTTGCACTGCTGAATGACTTTTTTCTTGAACGCTGTTGTCCACTTCTCTAGCAGCTTGCCTGACACTCCTTCTCCAAACATCAGAACAAAGTCTTGCTCAATCTAATAAGAATAACATTTAAATTATTGTAATGCTTAGGGCAAATCTTTAAACTCATGTCACCACTGACTATTTGATTTTTATACAACAAACCATTTATCAAATATGATTATAAACACTTACCAAGCCTTTAATGTCCTTGAAACGAGGAAAAATTGTCAATAGATCACTGGACTGCATGGGATCAAGAACCATCTTACGACGATAATCAAATGTCAGTTTCATTTTCTTCTTGATGGCATCCTCATCAGCAGAATGGTTCATGAACGCAATTGCTTCCTTGCATTCATCCTCACTCAGGACAATCTCTGGAGTAAACTTTGAATGCCTTGCAACAGTTGGTCCACCGGATCCCCGCTCAGCATACGACACTTGACCTAACAAACAACAAAACTATTTTAACTGTTTGTTCATACAAAATAAAACAAATAATCATCCAAGCACAAAGAAAATTAGATTTTTTACATTTCTGAAGTTCATTTTGTACCTTCAAATGATCCTCGTCGTTCTTTAGCCAGGTTTCTCTGAATAGTTTTGATTCTCCATGCCAAATATCCGGTGCCACTCTCACCATCATAGTAATGCTCCTAAAGAGATAAAAATGGGTAAAAAGGGGGACACAGGAGCAAAATATACCATCTGTAGTATAGGTGTGTAAAAAAAAACAAACAAAGAAAAACGTGACAACACAAATGTAAAATTTTAAAAAGGTGCAAGACTTACAAAGCCATTTTTGGAATAGGGGTCACTGAGGTAAGGGAACAAAGCCACGATTCCTCTGGCATATTTTTCTTTGACCAGCCTTGGTGGGGATCCTCTGCAAAATAATGATTAATTATAAAAAAATAAATAAATCCACAACTATATCAAGTAGCTATGTGTACACACAAATCAGTACTATGCAGATTACCCATTTTTTTCGGTCATATCAGCTGCCAGGATATTAACCATTTTTCTCCTCGTTTCATCCTTCAAAGCCTTTGTTCTGTTATACTCATTTATTATACTCTCACCTCCAGGTTTCTTGACAAGAACAGATTGCACCAGCTTTAAAATAAGAGGGGAAAAGGCAGGTTATAAACAAATTAAACAAACACACCTAACAAAAAGCAAAAAAATGAATTTTTAAATTAAATGTAATTTATATATTTTTTCACTTTAAATCATTTTTATGTAGAAAAAAAAAATCCACCTTTTTTGCTTCATCATCCAGCTTCATTCGCTTACTGTCAGGGCCTTCTTCAATAATGACTGTATCCTGAGAGTCAAGTGAGTCAATGGATGAAGACAGAGACTGATCTAAATGCATAGAAGATGATTGTGGAGAGGCCGGTTCCAAATCTGTTTGCATAAACAATATAAGGAGGGGGGGGGGGGGGGGTGAGGAAGTCTCTATGACAAAAAAGTGAAACATTACAGTCAAATAATGTGATAAAATACAAACCTGCACCATGTTTTATGGTGAGAACGCCAACGGAGGGATCTTTGATTAACTCCTCAAAAACATCACCATCCACCTCAGTCCCAGATTCATCCACAACCTTCACGTTCTCAGGTACATTTGGAACCCCAAACTTCAAAAAGGCTAAACAATACATAAATAATATATTGCATAATAATAATAAAATGTGAAAGCTGATCAGTTATATACTGGTAACTCTGAAAATCATCTGGAAACAACACAGCAGCATATACATCTGTATTTAAATTGACCACATACCAAATAAGAAATCTGAATAACAAAAGTGTAATTGTTTCTTACCTTCAGACAAAAAGTCCTCCAGGTTCAGATTGGCTATTTTAACAAACTTTTGTGCATCCCCAAATTTCACCTTTACCAGCATGCTCTGTAAGAAAAATGAGAATGTTTCATACAGGTGCTAATGGGGGGGAAACTTTAATCATACATAGATTTATAAATGACACAAAAATGGCACATAGGTTTATAAATTGTTGCAAGATTTTATAACCATTAACATATATTTATTATTTAAGAATTGGTCATCCCAGTTAGTAAAGTAATTACACAAGTACTTAAAGGTTTTACTCACGATGTGATCTGTAGAGCCTTATATGCACAGAAACTTGGGGGAAAAGAAAACACCAATATGTCAACAATCATTTTCCTGTTATGTCAAAGTATAACACACATTCACCATAGAAAAAAATGATTCTAATCCACTTAATTTTGAAATAATGTCTGTGCTGAAGGGTTGTCATGATACTGAATTTTGGTACTAATTGGTACTGGAATTAAAAGCATCCATTTTCGCTAATATTTAAGTGTTTTTGAGTAGCCAAAATATTATTCAAATGTAATAAGTTGCTTCCAAACTCATCTCCAACTAGCACAGACGTTGCCACATTACACAAACAAGTCATAACTTGGAATGCTATAAGTGTAAATCATCGTTTATTGTTTACCTGGTCTTTTGTCTATGATTATCAGCTTCAGGTCTTCAAACGTCAGTGGTTCGTTCACGTCACACAGACCCACATTAATTAAGCTGCCATGATTTTTAGTTTACCTCTCGAGTCTTCTGGTTCTTGAGTCGTTCGTTTATCATGTGACAGCACGTGAAGAGAGATGAATCAAATCCGAAGACTCGATAAATGAACGAATCAAAACTTTTTCCGGCTCTAAATGCATGACTGGCTTCTGTCTTTCACGCGATGAACGAACGACTCAAAGCACATAGAAGACTCGAAAAGGAACGAATCTTCTGCCCCACCTGCACAATTGTGCAATTAAACGAATCACTCCGAAAGGACTCAACGTTTTCGAGTCATACAAAAGATTCATTCAAATTTAACGAATCGTTTATGAACGACCCATCACTACATGTCACCGCTGTTTACTGGGCACAAACACAGATGCACGCCACTTGATCGTTTTAAAAGCCTCGAATATGAGCTGGCGTGTCTATGGGCTGACATTTAAGAGATCCGCTGATGATTCACAGTTTTAAAATGATCCGCTGTCTCTGTATCGGTGTTTGCACTCGGTAAACAGCGGTTAAGTGCGGTGAACTGATGACCTTCACGGCCAAACGGCGGGGTTTAGGACCGCGCTCAACAGCGAATTTCAGTAACGTTAATTGTTACCGAAAAACAGTATCATGACAACACTAACAAGCTGTTAAAATGCAACCTCTTAACAGAGAAACGTTAATTAGGAAGTAATTTGAAATTGACTGAAAATATTTAACCAGCAGTGAGCTCGACAGCCATACAGAGACAGTTAATTTTACACTACATATGTTTATATCATATAACTTTCTCTGTAAGTTACCATCTTAATATGTTGAAACAACAAAATACTGACCTAACAGTTACCTGGAACATTGCAGAGTTGCTCTTGAAAGCAAAACTTCGAGGCTAAATGTAGCCTAACGTTAACGTCTTCTTCAGAAAGTTCACAGTACAAATCTAAATGGATATAAAAGTAAGATTAGAAATCGCAAAAACAATTTAAGTAAGATCATTGGCATCGTTTAAGCTTCATCTTTAACGTTAAGGTGACCACACTATGATAAAATCGATCGAATGACACGGTCACAAAGTGACTCATAATCAATGTTTTAACAAACAAAACTCATCAAAGTACAACATATACCGTTGTATTAGCACATTTACTCATATAAATCGATAAAATGATGTTTTAAGACGTTAAACAAGAGAGCTTACCTATACGCACGAGGGAGCAGAAAATGGCGCCGACAAAACTCCAACACGTTCTCTGCAGGGGGTAGATTGAGGGGCGGAGCTTAACAGAGCAAAGTTAACGACGTAGAATACAACTCTGATCATTTTCACCAACACAAGGGGGTGTCTTTCACCGTTTCTTGTAAAATTAACTCATTTTGAGTAAATGCAGATTAACACAGCTTAATTAACACAGCGGATTTTACTGTGTATATATATATATATATATATATATATATATATATATATATACAGTTGAAGTCAGAATTATTAGCCCCCCTTTGATTTTTTAAAATCTTTTTTAAATATTTCCCAAATGATGTTTAACAAAGCAAGGAAATTTTCACAATATGTCTGATAATGTTTTTTTTTATTCTGGAGAAAGTCCTATTTGTTTTATCTCAGCTAAAATAAAATCAGTTTTTAATTTTTTTAAAACCCATTTTAAGGACAAAATTTTAAGTACCTTTAAGCTATATTTTTCCTATGGTCTACAGAACAAACCGTCATTATACAATAACTTGCTTAATTAAATATCTAAATATCTAGTAAAATGTTATTTACTGTCATCATGGCAAATATAAAATAAATCAGTTTTTAGAAATGAGATATCAAAACTATTTTGTTTAAAAATGTGTTGGAAAATTTGTCTCTGCATTGAACAGAAATTGGGGAAAAAATAAACCGGGGGGTAATAATTCAGGGGGGCTAATCATTCTGACTTCAACTGTGTATGTATGTGTATATATATATATATATATATATATATATATATATATATATATATATAGGGTTGCTCGATTAAGGGAAAATCATAATCACGGTTATTTTGGTCATAATTGTAATCACGATTATTCAAAATGATTATCAGTTGAAGTCAAAAGTATTAGCACTTATTATTATTTATTTATTTTTAATAAATATTTCCCAAATTATGTTTAATAGATTCAGGAATTTTTCACAGTATTTCCTATAACATATTTTTTTTTCTGGAGAAAGTGTAATTGTTTTATTTTGGCTAGAATAAAAGCAGGTTTAAATATTTTGAAACCTATTTTAATAGCTCAATATTATCAGCCCCCTTAAACAATATATTTTTTGATTGTCTGCAGAAGAAACTACTGTTATGACTTACCTAATTACCCTAATTAAGTCTTTAAATCACACTTTGAATCTGAATACTTGTGTTTTAAAAAATATCTACTGTAGTAAAATATGTGCTGTCATTACAGAATCAAATCAGCTATTAGAAACAAATTATTAAAACTATTATGTCTAGAAATGGGTTGAAAAAATCTTCTTTCAATTAAACAGAAATTGGGTGGGAAGGGCTACTAATAATTCAGGAGGGCTAATAATTCTGACTTCAAATGGAAATACTGTATACAGTTACTTCCCTCCCTGCAAAGGGAAATAAATACAATAGAACAAAAATATGAAACAAACTGTGCTTTAGGCGTTTTCACTGTAAGAAAAAACTTTAGCCACAGAAGTCCTTCAGTCAAGAGCAGTGAGGGATTTTCTTCTTTTGTTGTTTGATTAATAATGATAAAAGCTGTTGGCAGCAGAAATATTGAGCGCTATCACTTCAATGATTTCTCTTTCATGTCTTTTGATTCTCAACTTGTTTGTTTATTACACAAATGAGGATTAATATGAATAGTCACTAAACACCACATTTTGACCTATTTGACAATTAAAGCGCTAATGGTCATCAAGATGACTTTGTGTGTGCTCTGCTCGTCTCTGAGCCTAGTGTGTAATGAGAGCGAATGCTGACCGCATGATGTGTGTGCATGCATGATTCGACTGTAAATGCATGATTCGAATGTACATCAGTGAATGATGCGCGTCCCATGCTGCAAAAGTTACATTACAGGACATGCTTTTTCGGAATCGAATTTTCGATTAATTGCGCGGCCCTAATATATATATATATATATATATATATATATATATATATTTATACAACAGTTCGGTCTGATTGGCTGATAGCTGTGATATATTTAAGTAATATCAGCATCCGTACAGCCTCTTTACCCTTTGTGTGTTACTCCGCCCACATATAGCCAGCAACAAGCAGACACTACAGTTTGACAAATATTACAGTGGTTAGAGAACAAAATATACTTTTGAGGCTTATTTTTCAAGAATGTAGTTGTTTAGATTGCAACTATGTAGTTTATTTGCAAGAATAGTGACTATTTTAAAATATTTACAATTTCTGGAAGTCGTCGGCAGCCAAACACGGTTGACGTTGTCTATCCACAAGATGGCGCCAGGACCGCATAATAAGCCCTTGCTCAGTGTGTTCTCTGAGTGCAAATAAAAAGCTGAAAAATGTGGTTTTTAAGGTGCACCGGATAGAGTCAATAAGAAGCTGCGAATAAGAAGCTGGATTCAGCCTTGTCCCTCCCTATTGCAAATACAACAGCAGTATGGTGAGAAATCTCTGTATACGGATGGTATTTCATGTTACGTTCAGCCTTATAATCTTAAAATGTGAGCAAAATTAGCTGTTTTGTCATCACATTAAGGGGGTTACACACCAGAAGTGCCGGTTTACATTACGCCTGCAGCCTTGTGCCAACGCATGCCTCTCACCAGTGGTGATATACAGCCATAGCACACTGCTACTCGTGTGATATTGCTCATATATATACATTTATGTCGCCGAACTGTTGTATAAATGCAATATCACACTCGTATCAGTGCAGTATGGCTGTATATCATCACTGGTGAAACACTAAGGCACTCGGCCTGCGGCCTCAAGCCAACACCCACCTCCTACCATAGTTTGCACTGTGATAAATCCCAGTTTGCACAATGATAGGAAGCAGAAAAAACTCATACAAAACAGTTATTTTAAATTGAACAAATATTTCACAGTGTTACTGTTTTAATGTACTTTTGATCAAATAAATGCAGAATTGGTCAATATGCCAGACATAAAGGTTGGACAAATAACCTAAAGCATTATTATTATTATTATTTTTATTATTATTTTTTTGTGGATTATGTGACTGCCTAGCCTGACTTTCTTTTAAAAGAAAGCGATTGCGAATGGATTTAGAGGAAATGACATTCCTCTTTTATCAATGGCCTCAGCTGCAGTCACACAAACACATCATCTACTCTCTCCCAGTCTCCGCAGGGCCAATCTGATAAACGTCCCTTTGACATTAACACTCTTTGATCTTCATCTTTTTCTTCCCAGATGCTTTGTGACATATTCTGCCATGTATGGCCATGGTCAAGATCTCTGAACACTGGTGCTGTGACGACGTGCAGCTCCTTTAATGCACACCGGCGGAAGACTTCAGATGAATGAGCAGCAATTCTGCAGGTATGAACAGAGAAGTGCACCGTGTACTCACAAGTGTTTTCCTCTGCGCAATCAAAATGAACATAAGCAAGGAAATGCCCACATTATTTAATACTCATAAAGGTCACTAGATTAAACGGGTCTTGCTATGTGACTCACACAGCATTATTACAGTTCTTGATTTATTTCTGTTAGGACATGAATGAAGTTTATGATGACTTGGTGGTTTAAGGAATGAATCTGATGCTTGTTAGCATGATTCAGTGTGAAAGCTTGTGAGTCATTAAAAATTGTTTGTTTGTGGTGGAACTAGGGATGCTAATTTAGGGTAATTTTGCCAACTGACAACTTGTTAACCGAATATTAACGGTTAACTGGTCTGATTAATATGAAATTATTATTTAACAAAAAAATATAGATATTGATGTGTCTATTTTGTGTCTGACACATTACATATTGCATTTTAAAATACTGATTTATTTTAACATGTGAACAGCATGCAGATCATTATAACATAACATCTTCACACATCCTTCCTGAATCCTTTTAAGAACTGCCATATGCTGTGTTTATCCAATCATATGTTTTTTGTCTTCTGTCAAATTAAAAAAAGCAGGCTACCTCAAATTGATCGCTCAGAAAATATGCATTTAATTCATACTCCACTCTTATTCTTATATCATTTTAATAGATGTGATTAAAGATTATGTCTTGAGCATCTGATTTTAACTTAAAGCTTGTGTGCTTTTATTTCCTTTCTCACTCACGGTTCATGTGCACGCCCTGCATGTGATAAAGTATGTTGACTTTGCTCATACAGTATGTTGACTTTTTGTTAAGTATATATTACTATAACATATAACAGTTCTATTGTTTACATACGATATTGCATTTATTTACATCCATATTTTATAAGCTATAAAGTGAACGCTTCAGTTTGGAGCAGAGTTATCATTAAACAAAAATCATACATCTTCAGATTTGTTTGATTCGTAGCTAAGGCTGTTTTAAAATCTGATATTTTATAATAATTATTAGAAACTATAAAGTAATTTTCCAAATGAAAAAAAAAAGGTTAGTTTGTTGGTTGTACACTAAATTATCAATAGCCTATTTGTTGAGTTTATGATGCAGCTCCAGGACAGTTCAGGCAATCAGCATCAGCGCTGGTTTAGCATCAACTCGTCTGTGTCAAACTGTGTTCAGGAATATTGTTCTTTCATTTTGCTTCTTTAGCAAAATATGTCTGTAGGCACTTGTGGTTGCACGTGTTACTGTCCCGGGAGTTAACAAATATTTGTTACACATTTAGACACACATTAAACACGCTTTTACATCCCAAAAATGTGAGGCGCACCAGCCTACTCTGTGCAAATGTTGCTGTTGATGTTTTTATAATTGTAATGTTTAATAATATTGTGATATTCAAGATTTGTAAAGTAATACAGCTCTGGATAACTTGAAACAGCGACCACAAGTCTCTCCTCTATCTTAAAAAGTCTTTGTAGTTTTCTTAACAAAACAAACACTGGTGTCACCTCAACAGAACCATCGATGTGCATCGATGGATTTGCTCTTTAGTGTTTGGACTCTCAGTAGTGACTATTAAACCACACTGAACTGAGCTAAACTGAACTGAACTTAAACTCTGAAAACTGAACTACTCAGTTTCACTTTACTATGTGAAGCTGCTTTGACACAAGCTAAATTGTAAAAGTGCTTTACAAATAAAGGTAAATTGAATTGAATTCATACCATTAATCAGTTACACGCCCTTTCGGTTTACGGTTAATCGGTTATTTGGAGCATCCCTACATAAAGCACAGAGAACACAATGCCAAATAAATAATTTGTTTCTTTTTTGCACTGCCTGGTCTTTACTTCACA